GACGCCCAGGACCACCGCGGCCCCAGCACTCAGGCGGCCACTGGAGGGCGGGCGAGTGGCACAACCACACTCAGATGAGCACACACACCCGCCGCCCCGGGTGCCGCTCTCAGGCACATGCCCACCGGCAGCCACCACCGAAGGACGTCGTGCACGGGCGTGGACGGAAGGGAAGCCCCGAATGTCCCCAGACAAAGTGGTGCATCCACACGATCAAGTCCCCACACAGCACGGATGCCAGTGCTGAGCAGCTTCCTGGGCTCAAGAAGCACGTGCTCCCTGATCTGTGAGGCACACGTCAATCATGTACGTTTACCAAGCAGTTCACTTAAGGTCAGTGCGTTTTATGCACCTTACTCTACATATGTTTTACCAAGAGAAACAGACATACAGAAAGAATAGTACAGAAATGTCTCCCCAATAAAAGGGCTCATCGAGTCATGCAGAAAGCTTCAGCCCAGTGGCGCGTCCCAACTCCAAAGACAGAGGGAAAACCCCAAAAGGACCCAGTCAGGAAAGATGATGAGAGAGATCAACACTCAGCCCAGCAGTCACCTTCCCTGCTGGCGGCCCTGGATCGCTGGCTCCTGCTTTCTGTGGGGTGCCCGTGGGGCCCCTCCACACGCACCCAGAGCGCGGACAAGGGGCCCGCGGGGTCCGCCTCGCCAACCTGCCTGTGAACCGCAGCCGGAGTGCACTCCCGACAGAACCAGAGACGGACCCAGGAAGGGTGTGGGCACCAGCACCATTCAGGAGGGAGGCCGGGAGATGGCAAACCCCGTGTGAGCGTCAGTCCCGACCAGGGCCATAGATGCCGTCAGTCTGCTCACTTCCCAGCTTTCCCGTTTCCAACGGCCAAGCAGCACGTAACACACCCACAACAGCGGAAGCTCGGTTCCCAGACTGCACCCAAACCCGGCAGGTGGGGCAGCGGGCGGGATTCTGCCCGGCAGAGACGCCCACAGACACGCATCTCCACGGCAGTCAGCACACCACTTCCACGCGGGGCAGGAGGGGGCACCACACATCAGAGATGCGCCAATTACACCTCAGACAACATGCGCAAGACCTGTCGGAATCTGCCCCAAGAGCTACAGAAAATGGCAAGGAGATAAAATCGGCATAAACTTGCCACAGCACAAAGAGAAGAGAAAGATCTCCAAGGACAGGAGGTCAACACAGTGCGGGCTCACTGCCGAGTGACGACTGTGCTGGGCCGCAAGTGCCATGCAGACAGCTCTCATCAAAAGCAACAGAACGAGGGACTGGACCCGCCGGCCCCCTTCTGCCCCACAGCCCCGACTTGGGCAAAGACCGGATGCTGACAGTAGCAGGAGGGGCCGCCATCCCCGGGCAGGAGCCCCGCAGAAAGGTCTGCAGAGGACAACAGGCAAGGGTCCTCTCAGGACTGCAGGCTCCTAGGGCCGCCCAGCACTTCCCCAAATACGTCGGCCTCAGCCCTCGCCGACACCCCACTCTGAGCATGTGGCGAGTTCTCTTTTACTGAACCAAGAGATCACTATTTCTAATAGGACGGATTGCTTCTGTCCTTATGATTAGTCTGCAGTTTTACTGCCACATGTGTGCAGCATGAATGCTGCTCTTTACAACTTATCTGGGCCTGATGCACGCACAACTCTAGTAAACACAGCATGCCGGTTTTTAGAAATACGAGTTCTCTACCGGGAAACGGTTCTTCACATGCAGAAGATCTTCAGGTCAGCCACAGAAAAAGCACACAGTGTGGCCACAGCAGTTGGAAGGAAGTTGGTGGGGCTGGGCCAGCACCGACGGGGCCAAGGGCAGAGCGCTCCTCCAACAGAGGGTCGGCTGCCTGCCAGGAACAAGTCCGCGTGTGCACGCACCAAGAACATGGGCTTCACACTGGTCAAACAAGAATCCGACCAAACTACGGGGAGGACGCACAGTCATCTTGGGGGTTTTCACATGCCCTCCAGGGACAGGACAGACACAACCAAACTGAGCGAGCATCACAAGGAAACCTGACCTGAGTGACAGGTACAGACCGTGTGCAGAAAAATGCTCCTTTCAAGGGCCCAGTGGCCCAGACGTGACCACGTGCTGGGCCATAAGGCAAGCCTCCACCATTTCAAACGACGGAGGTCCTGCAAACAGTATGATCTGGAATGAGAACAAACCACACTACTCGTAAACCACGGGTCAAAGGAAGAAGCACAAAGGAAATGCACAGTCTGATGTGCTAACCACAAGCCCAGGGCCGTGGACGGAGGGTCCCTGAGTGTGACACCCACAGCAGCGGAGGGTCCCTGAGTGCGACAGTTCGCCTGGCCGCCTTCCCAGCAGGTGGGAACCGGCGCACCTTGTTTGCTCTGTACAGACGCTACGCTTCTCACAGACGGAAGGCCCCCAGCCTCCAGCACGTCTTTGGGCGCCATTTTTCCAACCACGTTTGCTCACTATGTGTCTCTGTGTCACATTTTGTTAATTCTCAATATTTCAAATTTTTCTTATTGTTTTATCCATTACAGCGATCTGCGACCAGTGATCTCTGATGTTCCTGTTGTAACTGCTTCCGGCCGCCGCGAACCACGCCCACAGAAGACCGTGAACTTAATCAATGTCCTGTGTGTCCTGACTGCCCCCCCCCCCGCGTTCCCTCCTCCCCCCACCCCCTCCTCGAGCCTCCCTGGTCCCTGAGACACAACAATATTGGAATTAGGCCAGTTAATAACCCCACGGTGGTCTCTAAGTGCTCGAGTGAAAGGAAGAGCCGCCTGGCTCTCACCTTAAATCAAAGCTAGAAATGAGTCAGCGGCGCGAGGAAGGCGCGTGGAAGGCGGGGAGGCCGAAAGGCTGGCCTCTTGCACCAGCCAGGGAGCCAAGCTGTGAATGCAAAGGCCAAGTTCTTGAAGGAAATGAAAAGTACCACTCCAGTGAGCACGCGAACGATGAGACAGCGGAACAGCCTTCGCGCTGATCCGGAGAAAGTCGGAGTGGTCGGGATGGAAGGTCAAACCGGCCACCACCGCGTTCCCTGCAGCCCAAGCCTGGTCCAGAGCCAGGCCCCGCCTCTTCAGTCCCGTGGAGGCTGAGAGGGCAGGAGCCGGCAGAAGAAAGTCCGGAGCCGGCGGAGGTGGGCTCAGGAGCCTTGAGGAAAGAAGCCGGCTCCCTAAGGTACGCGTGCGAGGTGAAGCAGCCGCGCCGATGGAGAAGCTGAGCGATGGAGAAGCTGAGCGCGTTCTCCCGAAGATGGCGCGAGGCTCGCCGGGGAAGGTGGCTGCGCTCAGCGGCCGACCTGCAGCGCGGACGCACCGGCCTTCTCCCCGAAGAAGGGGCCGTCTAGGGCGTCCACAGCTCGAGAGGCGAGCTCGGTGCGTCTGCAAAGCTTCGGACGCCAGGCTGAGCCTCCCGTTAGCGGCGAGGCAGCTGGCGACTCTAAGGGGAAGCCACTGCTCACTTACCGTCCTGAAAACCCGGGGCCCTTAAAATCCTACAAAATCTGCTCTGCCCGTGCTCCATAAACGGAACAACAAAGCCTCGATGACAGCACATCTGTTGACAACATGGTTTCCTGAATATTTTCAGCCCAATGTTGAGACCTGCTGCTCAGAAAAAAAGGTTTCCTTCCAAACCTTACTGCTCGGGGGCGCTGCACCGGGGCGCCCAGGAGCTCCGACGGAGCCATGCAATGAGATCAATGCAGGGTGCATGCCTGCTACCTCACCGGCCATCCTACAGCCCAGGGGTCGAGGGTCAGTTTGATTTTTAAGTCTTATTATCAAGAAATGCATATCGGAAGGCTGTAACTACCATACAGAGTGACTCCTCCGATGGATCTGGGCGAAGTAAACGGAAACGTCCTGAAAGGGATTCACCGTTCTAGATGCCATTAAGAACATTCGCACTCCTGGGAAGAGCTCCGACTATCCACAGGGCTTTGGAGGAAGTGGATTCCAGCCCCCGTGGATGACGTTGAGCGGTTCCAGTCTTGAGTGGGGGACGTCACCGCCCATGGGAAACAGGAGAGACCCAGGATCAGAAGTGGGGCCAGAAGATGGGACTGAACTGCTACAATCTCGCGATAAAACCCGAAAGGAGGCGGAGAGGCCTCTTCTGGGTGAGCAAAGAACGTGCATTCTTGAGACGGAAACTGCTCCTGCTGGAGACGCTGTGCGCACTGCTGACGTGACAGCGAAGGACCAGACTCTCACAAAAACTGCCTCGATCACGCAGCAGCAGGGTTGGAGAGGACCGACTCCCATTTCGGAAGAAGTTCTCCTGTGGGTAAAATGCTGTCGAACAGCATCGCCTGCTGCAGAGAAACCGTTGGTGAGAGGAAGAGCCCATCAGTGCGGCAAACTGCCTTCTTGTCTTATTTTAAGAAACTGCCGCGGGCACCCCAGCCTCCAGCCCCCACCCCCCTGGCCAGTCAGCGGCCAGCACCGTGGGGGCCAGACCCTCCTCCAGCAGACAGGCCGTGCCTGGCTGAGAGCTCGGATGACCGTGAGCGCTGTTAGCAATGAGGCATTTTTCATTAAGCTATGAACACTGACTTTGTAGACACAATGCTATTGCACATGTACAGACTACAGTGTGGTGTAAACATAACTTTGGAATGCACTGGGAACCCAAACAGTCCATGTGACTCACTTTACCGCGAGACTCGCTTTACTGTGGCGGTCTGCACGGAACCTGCAGCGTCTCCGAGGTCCACCGCAAAGACCACAGAGCGAGGGGATGCAGCGCGTCGGGAGGACTCTTCCATGGCCTGACATTCCTGACAGTGGCCTCATGCAAACGTCTGAGAGGGGCTGGCAGAACGTGCTCCTGCCTGAGCTGACCACAGCCAACGTCCTCCTTAATGGTGCAAGACTGGACGCTTTCCCCAGAAGCCAGGAGTAAGACACTCCTGTTCAACATGGTTAGAAAGCGCCAGCCAGGGGTCACTGCGGGCCACCCACTCTTGCCCTTCACCCCCGGAACGTGCCCTCATCCAGAGCCCCCGCCGCGGGGAGTACCATTCTGCAGGGTCTGTGCTCTTGACTCCTTTCCCAGGTTCACATGGAAGCCGCCGCCCAGGGTTGGGGTTTTGCCGGCACCTAGAAAAACAAATCAGACTGATTAGTCAAAACTTGGCAGGAAAGAGCCATACCAGCAACCTTCACGGCCTGGGGTGTATCTGAAGCATGGATACAGTGGGATCAGCGTTCATGGTTGGAGAATTGGGGCCTCCCCCTGCCATTCTTAGCAACCGGCAAACCTCCCCTCCCTCTGGCATGCCAGTGCGCGTGTGGCCTCTCTAACCGCGTTCCAGAGCTCACACTGCCGCGTGGCAGCCAGAGAGAGCACAGCTCACCAGCAAACTACAGCATCCCCCGGGGCCCTCTGCGTACCCAGACCCAGCCCATGCACAGGAGTTACACCTGCACAGTGGCCGCTGGTCAATGGCACCTGTCCCACCACCCACAGGACCGTGGCCCAGAGCCCGTGAGCCAGCTCGCCTACAGGACACACTCACACCTCTACCCACCTGTGTGCTGCCCACCCACATAACAGCAGCCTAGGGACCCTGGTCCTAAAGGGTGGCCACAGCCAGACCTGCAGGCGCTCTGCCTTGGATCTCCCACCAGTGCTGAGATGCCCCAGAGAGTGCCATGCACTCTGCTCTGCAAGGCACTGGGGCTGGGACTTCCGCCCTGTTACCCTTCAAAGACAGCCAGGTAGACGTCTGGATTGCTTGCCGGGCTTACGAGCCCCACCACCGAAGCCGAAGAATGCTCGGGCAGCCAAGAGAAGGCAGTGGAGCTGGGAAGTGCCGCCCACCCCACGGGCCGGTGTGTTTGTGAGCAAATGCACAGCGAAGAATTAGAGGCTTCTGCAGTCAGGGGGCACCTCACAGCCTCAGCCACAGGACGTCAGGCCTGCAGGATGGACCAGGACCCATGCGACAATGAAATGGAAACTCAGACCTGTGGTACGGACCTGGAAACCCAGACCACGTCTGGGAACAGGCCCCCAGGGAAAGCACATGGCCCACGTCCGGGGCCAGCAGGGACCTCGGGGTCACCCATGGGCAGCCAGCAGCACAGACAGCGCAGAACAAGCACGACCTCCAGCAAATCCCAAACCAACACTCACGAGATTCCTTAAAGATCTCAGTAAAACGGTTCCCAAGTTTAGCCGGCAACAAAAAGAAGTAAGACAAGCCAAGAGAATGTGGAAAAGACCAACTGGTGGGCAGCCGCTGGGCAGCTGTTGGGCCACGGGCTGAGGTGGGCTGGCTGGGAGCAGAGCCAGGAGCCAGCTGCCCAGGGGGCCCAGCACCCAGCACTCCCACCACGGCGGCAGAGCAGAGGGGCCTGGGAGGGCTGAGGCCCCCAGCTGGGCAGCATCCTCTGCTGCCTCCTCCGTGGTTACCGTGGTTACGAAGGCCTCAGGACCAGCCCGGTGGCCTCCTCCTGTAGAGCGCAGTGCCCAGGACAGGTGTCACTCACCAGCCAGGGACGGGTTTGCTGTCACCGGGAGGGCTGGCTTCTACTGCTGCCCCAACCAACCACCACTGCAGACTTCATGTCCTCAAGAAGCTGGTCACAGAGTGTGGGGAGGGAGAGGACAAGCAGCGTGTCCTCAGGGGGCTGGAGAGCTGCAGGGCCCAGAGGAGATTCATCCACCTGGATGGGCACCAAGGGGCTTCCAAAACCACCTGTCAGCTCTGTGGATCCCGGCACAGGCTCGCTGGGCTGAGATCAGGGCTCTGCGTCTCTGACCCTCCAGTTTTGGTGGCGGTGGCTTCTTACAACTTGGGGACCTTTACATTTGCAATCTTTTCACACAAGAACCACTGAGGAAGGCCCACTCACTCATAGCACCTGACCATGACAGCCACATCTAAGCATGTTTAGGCTTAGCCAGCAACCCCCCAACGTTTAATTTAGGAAAAGAGAAAAATCACCATGTTGTCTTAATTAAAACGGATGTGTACTTTTAATAAATAATTGGACTACTGCATTAAAAAAAGGTTAATGGGGGCGCCTGGGTGGCTCAGTCATTAAGCATCTGCCTTCGGCTCAGGTCATGATCCCAGGGTCCTGGGATGGAGCCCCGCATCGGGCTCCCTGCTCCGCGGGGAGCCGGCTTCTCCCTCTGCCTCTGTCCCTCCCCCTGCTTGTGCTCTCTTGCTCTCAAATAAGTAAAATCTTTAAAACAGAAAATGAAGAAGAGTGGAACTTCGTTCTGGTTGAGTATTAAATGCAATCTCCTTATTCCTCGAAATCTCGCAAAACTGCCAGAGGTCACCCCCCCAGGACCCCCACCCCCCTCGCTGTGCCTCCAAGACTTCTACTTCCTGTTCCTGTGCTGTCCTTCCCTGCCTCTCCCTGAGGACCCGGCCAGTCTCCCTGGGGCGGCTCCGACCCTGGGGACGATCTCCTGACCCCTGTTCACACACACGTGCGCACACCGGCCCCAAGCTCTCTGAGCTCCCTGTGCGTAGCCCCAGGGCATCGGGGGCCCCCAGGAGACATTGGGACCCTGTCCCTCATAGACTCAGTTCTCTGCGGCAAGGGGCTAGGGTCCAAGCCGGCTCTTGCCAAACTGAGGTAGATTCTGGTACTCAGCAAACACCACGCACCGGGGTTTGTTACAAGAGATAAAATCTGGAACACGCGCGCGGATAGCCTAAGTGCCCCGTCAGACCAGGAGGCCAATGTTTCCTGAAGCATGAAGGAAAGCTGAATGACAGCTGCCAACGGAGGATGTTCTTGGTCTTCAGACCCCCTTCACGCTATTCTCTCAACTTCTAAAAACATTAGAAACCTTCTGCGACAAGCTCCTGCAACCAAAAAACCACAACAAGCGGAACTAAGGGTGGACTACGACCAGGCCAAGAGCGGCCCCTCGTGGCCTGCGGCGGAGGGCCCGATGCCTGGCCCAGTGCCGCCAGCTACTGGCAGACCCCGGAACGGCAGACCCTGGACCCCGAGGGGCCGCCGCAAGCCTGGCCACTGTGAGCACGGGGACCAAAGCCAGCAACACCAACACCTCAGCACTAGGGAGAGGGAGGCTGGGCTGAGGGGCCTCAGCACCCCAGGAAGGCCTTGCACACATCTGTCCCCCGTTTCCCCCACAAGCTCCCCCAACATGGGCAAGCACACCTTCAAGAAGTCATATGAATCTGACTTAAAGGGAGGATCTCTGTCGCTGCCATGTAAGCCCTTCTCCAGAGAGGTCCTGCAGCCGGAGCCCCCACACGGACACAAGCCCCTCTGGGGCTCCCGAGAGACCCTGGACCAGGCCACGGAGACTGCTGTGCACCAGGACGCCGCCCGGACGTGGATCTGTCGTGACACAGGGAGCTGAGCGGGGCAGCACTGGAGACTCCTTTCACCCAGCGCAGCTCCCAAAGAGCCTGTTTCGTGGGGATTACAATTCTGGTTTTGGAAACCATGCAGCGTGGAGCGTGGTAGATGAAAAAAGCTGCAAACGACATCTCAGAAAGAGCAGCCCTGTCTCACCCTGTGCCCCTAGCACAGAGTTCAGCCCACATTTCCTGAGAACAGGCACCTTGGCCAGGAACTCAACGGGGCTTTGAGGGGCCGCAGGATAGCAGCAGAGCTGCAGAATCTTCCACCTCTGGGACCAGAGCGCAGCCAGGACACCATCCTGTGCTCAGAGACCTAAGGCACAGGGGGGCTGTGCCTGGGAGAGCCCCCGAAGGGCAGAGCACAGGCTAGGCAGCTGGTGCAGGTCCCATCATTCTTTAGCAAGCAAGAGCGGCTCCCCTCCTGGGGGCCCTCCCCGTCCCATCCAGGGCTGGAGGCCACAAACCTTTCTCACTGTTTTACGGCTGGGGAGAGTTCATCCAACACAAACGTGTGGCAAGTACTTCACCACTCCTACCTGTGACTACACCAGCGCTCACAGATGTCTTCACTTAAAAGACGGATCTGCAGCCATGACAAGCTGTGATTATGGAAACCATGGAAAGCGCTCCCCGGCAGAGAGAGGGGAGGACCCCAGGGGAGCAGGGACCACAGGCTGCCCGGTGCCGGAGCTCCCTCTGCCTCCAGGCTGCATGTCATGGGAGCGGTGCTGACAACTCCGGGGGGAGGCCCACAGGAGGTGGGCACCATCGACGGCAGAGGGGACGCTCAGGGAAGAGCTGCTAGCTCTGAGGCCCTCAGGGTGGACACCTGGCACAAGGCACTCACACGTACCCTGCTGGGAAACCCTGCTCTCCAGTCCCCACCACACTTGGGGGAGCCCCTCCCTAGGGGAGCGGCAGGACCGTTCCTCAGGGCCCACTAGGGCCCCAGCCAGTCCAGCTTCGCCCACTGACTTGACATTCTGGCCACGTGGAGCTGCGTGCCGAAATCACACACCCATCCCTCCTCTCGGCTGGCTGCCTTCCAGGGCCTTCCACGGCCTGGATGTCCCCAGGACCACTCGCGCCACCACCACTGGATGTCAGCCTCACACTTTGCTGGTCCAAGAACATCTTCCAGGGAATCGGGGACCAGAGCTCCTCAGCCCTAGAGGCCAGGCCTGGCACACAATCGGTACTCACCAGGGAAGACCCCTGGACGGTCAGAAGCCCACAGAGGAAGGGCCTCTGGCCTCACGGCCCCGGCATCTCATTTACAGAGTCGCAAGTACACCCCTAAGCTAACTGTCCATACGCAGTTCTCAAGGAACAAGAAAGAATGCTTTGGAAAGATGGTGACCATGGGCCCCAGATGAGGGCAGCTGAGGGAGCAAGCTCAGCTTTCAGGGCGAGGCTGGAGTGAAGGAGGACCCGAGAAGAGCCAGCTGGCATGCACCTCTGCCGGGGGCGCTAGAGTAACCCAAGTCAACAGCCCGTGTGAGCACTGCCCTGGTGCAGGGGAGGGAGCAGGCGGCTGACGGAGGTCCCACCAGGCCGGGGGGGGCTAAGAAACCACCGCATGTCTGCAGCACTTCCCTGCAGGCCCTCCAGAGAACAAGCCCATAGGACAGAGCCAGGCTGGGCTGGGGAAGGGTCTTCACACCCATGAAATCACACCTTCCCACCGCACCTGGCTCTGTGACCGACTTTACTGCAGACAGGTGGGAGCACGTCGCTCACGTCCAGGACTCTCGGGG